ATTCAAAAATGCACGTTCTGTTGTTGGTCAGCAGATATTTCCTTTGCAACATCTCAACCAACAATTGATCCAGTTATCAACGCTATTTTCAAGTTTTGAACAACTCGACTTTCAAGATCTACGTATCAACATGAGCCATTTATGAACGTTATATTTTAAGATCTGTGCAAGAACTCAGCTAACAGATGTTTCCGTATATCAAAGCTATCCTTATTATTATACTACTTTAAAAGGTTGACACAACTCAGTCATATCCAAAGAGTTGGCCAGGTTCGAACGTCTAATTGATCAGTACATATGATGGTTTAACAATGTACCGCGATTATTCTGACATTCACATATATAGAGTATGATGTAAATTTACTGTTCTGTAGTCTATACTATGCTGTATATGTTCTGTTCTATAGTCTACTCTATGCTGTATATGTTCTGTTATATAGTCTAATCTACGCTGAATATGCATTGTTCTGTAGTCTACTCTGTGATCTATGTTTTCATGTTCCATAGTCTACTCTGTGATATATATGCACTGTTCTATAGTCTATTTTACGACATATAAGAGCTGTTCTGCAGTCTAATCTGTGCTGCATACGTGCTCTTCTCTAGTGTGCTCTGTGCTGCATATATGCAATTCTGTAGTCGACTCCTTGCTGTATATGTCCTGTTCTCTAGTCTAGAGTATGCTATATATGTGCTCTTCTTTATTCTATTCTGCGATGTATGTGTGCTGTACTATATTCTACTCTGTGATGTATATGTACTGTAGTCTCTTTCTGTGTCGTATAAGTGCTTTTCTCTGTCTACTCTGTGGTGTCTATACGCTGTTTTATAGTTTATTCTGTTATATATATATTTGTAGTCTACTGTGCAGTGCATATGTGATTTATACTAGTGTTGAATATGATGCTTACGTGTTGTTCTTTAGTCTTCTGTGTGTTCTAGATATGTTGTTTATAGTCTACCCTGTGATGTATGCGTGCTGTTGCATAGTCTACTCTGTGATGTATATGTGGTGATTTATAGTCTACTCTATGAGGTATATGTGCTATTTTTAGTCTATTTACTCTGTAATATATATGTACTGAGCTTTCAACGAAGTTCTGAGTGGTGGATTTAACTGGATGATTAATTTTATTTCACAATAACTATCAAAGGTCACCTGAGATAAACAGGAATTCGTTTATGTTTAGTGTTCAACCTTTTTTTCAGGCCTGTGCCTGCAGAAGAAGTCGAAACGTCCCACGCACTTTTGCATTGAGGAACCGACGCAAACTACCGTCACGCGGTATTGAGCCAATTATGTTCGAAACTAAACAAAACTGTAAAGGACTTTTACAACTCAAACGAAATAGAGGTTACTTTATAACTTCAGGAGACATTAGTTATCAATTTATTTTACAGCTTCATCTGGGGTTTTTTTCACTTGTGTATAGGTCAAACTTGAGAAGAAGCCATAAAGCGAAACAATAAATATTAAAACCAATTTCCTGCAGTTAGCAGGCTGTTATTAATTAATCATATTGTGACTAGTAGATATAATATTAATTAAAATAAAATAAATTTGTTAGACACAGATATAAAATTTGAACTTAGACGAAATATGTCCATTATACATCATACAGAGTAACAGAAAAAATGTACAACTAGAACAGTATTAGTCCATTATACTTCATACAGAAGAACATGGAAAATTTACAATTATAACAAAGTAAGCCCATTAAACGTCATACAAAGAACAACAAATATTTATAAAAGAACAAAGGAAGTCATACAGGAGAAAAAAAGGAAAATTACAATTAAAACAAAATAAGTCCATTATACATCATTCAGAAGAACAATGGCGATGTCGAAGAAAATAAATAAAGATGAAGACGGTTGATAAGATAAAATATATTTTTATGTGGAAAGTCATCGATAGATTTAAAATATACATATCATCTTCATTCTGATTATTATAAGAAAATGATAGATGCTTTAATTACCCCTTTCACAATGTTCATCATCATCATCATTTTCTGAATAAGAACTTCGTCGTCTTGAAGATATGTACGGCTTGCTTGGACCACAGCCCATTACGTCATTTTAAAACGAGTCGTAACTATCTTCTACATAACAATTTTCCTGTAAGTAAAACATACTATGTTAATGAAAGGGTATCTTATTCAAGCAATAATATTTTAAATTTTATTTTGACTAATCGGCTTTACATGGATCTCAAGCAGCTCTTGGCGTATCAAAAAATATCCTAGGTATGAGTACCTGGAAGTTTGATATTGTTACGTCTCCGTTTGTTAATTGATTTTCCGTAACTTCG